GTTATTCAAAAATATTGGAATTTAAAAGCATGAATTTTAAAAAAGTTCACAAATTAAAAAAATCATGGATTTCCAAATTAATCACAGATCTGAAATTAGCTTTGCAAACTAAAAACATGTTCGCAAACTTTAAAATATTCAGTAATGTTTTTTGAAGAAATCTTGAATTTTAGAAAAAAAACAGGCACTTCTAAAATTGTTCACAGATTTAAATAAATGTTCATAAATAAAAAGTGAATAAATAAATAAATTTAGAATATACAAATAAAAAACATTGAAAATAACAGAAAGGTAAAAGTAGGAACCCTCAATCAACGACACAGACGCACCAGGAGCCTCCAAAATTAGGGAGCTTAGTATCTTGATATAAATTTTCGGAAGCAGATCCTAAGATGCAAACCAATTAGTTCAGTCAATGTTGAACAGTGTTTTCTTATCAGTGGAATTTTTATTAAGGCAAGATAAATATGAGAAAAGGACAATGTGATTTCCTCTATAGGCTATGTCCTCTTGTCTTGTCTAGTCCAAATTCACGACTCGAATCTTCAGCATATATTGTGTGATCTTTTGCGAAAGAATAGAGTGAATCTTTGTGCGTTGTACACTTGTACCTTTTGTTTCTAGAGACATATAGTACTATTTTGTTTCTACTAGTATAATCTAACTTTACGAGAAATTTGATTCCAAAGGCATATATAGTCATAATAGAACTGCCTTTTCTCAATTCAAAGGTTCCAAAATTCAATCTTGTTTCATGTGAAATTCACATATCAAATAGTTGTATTATTATCCACCTAATGTCTTTCCTATATAAAGTTGTAGCTAGCGTATGTCGAGTTCCTATGAAAACCTTCTCAGGAATTGTATTTGAACATAAATGGATTCAAATTATAGAAACTTTGTGCCTTCCTTTTGGTGTCTTATGTTTACATCAAGAGTAGATCATGCTACTTTTTTCCACCAAGAAGTATATCCAAGCATAAAAGGAAGCGCAACGATCAAGACTATGCAAATCTCACAATATCAATTTCTTGCTCAAAATAACACGCAAAAACCATTGCAAAGTAAACACGGTGATGAAACAACTAAAGTTTTTCTTTCTGAATACGCATGAGTGTATGTACTATATACTAAAAAAGTGAAACGACTAAAGTAAACCACGCCTGTGCTAAGTCCACATGAACGACGTCTCTTCGGGCACATCTAAACATCATCTGAGGGCATGTACAATGGTGGCATATGGATTCATATGCCTCATGATAAAAAGTAATTTAAGGCACTTATATTTATTTTTTCTTTCCAATGCAAGCTACCACTAGTGGGCCTCATTAAAAAAATAGAAAATAAAGACTCTAGTATACATGCATCTTTATTTTTCACTTCAACCTTTTCAGCTTTTGTCACCGGACCACACTTTTTCTCTTCAAGCACCCGCCTTCTGGAGAGAATCTCGCTTCCCTATCTGAACCTACTTTACGTCATATCCAATCCTATATGACATATGAGGCATGACCTTAAGACTATGTATTGTACATGCTCTGATAGATCCTACCAAAATTTCACACCGCTGTCTAAACTCTAAAAATGACACACGCGCGCCGGTTGAGGAAAACAAAAGCGGCATCAACGTCCGAGTCGCACGTGGCGGAGAGGACGTAGAGGTTTTCGCGCACGTAGCTGGTGTGGACGAAGGAGACGTTGCGGTCCTGCGGGATGGAGTGGCCGGAGTTGAGGAGGCAGTCAGGCAGACGCCGGGGACGACGACGCGGAGCACCTTGGGATCGACGGGGGCAACGGAGCGGAAGTTGCCGCACTGCAGCCGGATCCTGGAGATGACGCAGGGCCTGCCCCTGCGTTCGTCGCCGGCGCACTGGTTCGTCACGGTCACCCAGTACATCGATGAGCCGTCGCTTTGAGGCTCGCCGAGGCTCTGCGTTATGACGAGGTCCTTCTGGAGGTCGCAGTGGGCGTCGGCGGCGGCGAAGGCCGGCGGTCCATGAGCACCGCCACGGAGCGAGCGGTCGTCATCGTGCTAGCTAGCGCGCCGGCGGATCAAGAGTTCGGGGGGAGAGGGGAAGCGCGTATACGAGCACGATCGACCACGGCGTGGCTAGCTTGATTTATATATGCATGCATTGCGGATAGTTTTATGGAATGAGCAAATCAACATGTAATTACTTGTGAAAACGGGGTTTGTCTGACCAAGACTCCACGGTGTGGGTATTTGGAATGTGTACATGGATATGGCAGGTTAAGCTCGTTGAAGAGAATTCTTGCCATGTAGTTTCCTTATCAGAACGATATATTACATGTATGGTACGAGTGCATACATGGGTTGCTTTTTTTTTGAGCATCAGTACAGACACAAGCGCTCATATACACGCGCATACACTCACCTCTATGAACGCACACATGCACACCCTACCCCTATGAGCACCTCTGAAAGACTGAGCCGGCATATCATCTTGAGATTTACGAAGTCACCGTAGGCGCCTCGTCGTCGACGGGAACGTCTCCTCCCACTGAAAGCGCATCGCCGGAAATCCTAAAATAAATCCAGGAATAATGCGAGCACCAGGATTTGAACCCTGGTGGGTTAAGGATACCACTGTCCACCTAACCAACTCAACCACAGGTTGATTCGCATACATGAGTTGCTTTGATATACGGAACAACTTCGGATTGATCTATGCTGCGTGCCATCTGTTCGGAAATGGATTGGAACACCCAGGTGCTACGCACCCCTATATGAAAATAGCATTAGTAAAATATCAGAAATTTTTAAGAAAGTCTAAAATTATGGGATTTGAAACATGGGTGCTCGTTGTACACCTGTGTTCATATCTGCGGTGAATGGGTTCCTGTGGTATCCGCGTCTCAGGAATTACGCTCCGACATACGATATATCCAAAAAAAAATTCTATACATACTATTTTTTTAATCTTTTTAGTGACATTACCACGGGCACTCATTCCCTACGAAACTGGACACGGGTGTACAACGGGCAGCCAAGTTTCATGCCCCTAAATTTCGGATTTTTTGGTGATTTCCTAATGTTTTTAATGTGATATTCATATAGGGATGTGTGGCACCCAAGAGCCACAAATCCTCTTCCGCTATATGTTTTGACTTAATATCAGGATCCAGGCCGTCCAATCCTTGCAACAGATAACCCTCGCTTGTGATATTTCCATTTTTACGTTTCGAGCATCATCGCAATATCTTCGTTGCAGTACGACAAAACATGCAAACAAAATCCCATTATTTGAAATGCACACATGCACAATTTATTGTGTGTATGCAACAAATAACTATTTTTTAAAGCAAATCATCGAGAAAAATCCATGTATGCAGCAAGGAAACCATTTCTTGGGACACTGCAAAAAAAACACTTGCAATATGAAAAGAACATTTGCAGCAGACAACCAAGATAATCACATCATCTCACCCATTTGTTTTCAGTAGACTCCCGAGAGTCATCACAACATGTCGCCCTAGTGTTTATAGCAGAACACTCATGAGCTTGCAGCGTGTCAAATTAACATATGCAACATAAAAAAAACCGCAAATCACCAAGCTTCATATTGGAGTATCGACCTCACCGCCCCGTGCCCATTAGCGACAAATATCGCGTTGCCAGATCCCTGTCGTAACCCGTTCTCCTATATTTCCATCTTTCCCTAAGTTCACTGGCGTCGGAGGACTTCCTTTTTTTGTTACAACTGGAGGAGATGGCGAGTGAGCACTTTCATATGTGAGAAGTAGGGTCAACGATAGGAGCTCCTAGAGCATGGGAGCATGCTCCCTTCAGTAGCGGCAACGGAGCAGGGTCTAAACCTAGTGGATGGAAAGGTGCTAGAGGGGAGGCTTACACTTAGCGAGAAGAGAAAATGCAGAGCTAATTGTAGTATTCTTATGATGAAAAGCTATGAACTAGCACGCGCTTAGCACAGCGCGTCATGCGCACCTGAACGATCCAATGGATCGGTCAAATACTTGGTTCTATATAGAGTAGTATTTCATAAAAGAAAATGGATATCTTTTACATGTATTCATATCTACTAGATGTTTGCACAAAATACTTTTTTGGGTGAATTATTAGTACATGAATTGCAAAACATGTTGTCGTAGTCTAAATTTTTGGTATTGCATACGTTAATATTTTCTCTATAAACATATTCAAGTTCCTAGAAAAAAAAAGTCTTAGTCAGACTTAAAAGGTTTGACTTACATTTTAGAAAAAATGTAATAAGTAAGAAATGATTTGCCATTTTGTGTTGTATACAGAATGGTTCAAGTATTATCTTTGTAGCCGGCACTTGAGTAGTTGGTTACTTATCATATCTCTAGAGTTGTTTATTGTATAATTTTTTTGTGCTAAATCCCCAGCGTAATCCAGCGAGATGATAATTTAGCATATGTGGATCAACAGTGGTTAGATTTTTTTAATTATATAATAGTTATATGGAAGAATTTAAAGATGATGATATACAACAATTTAAAGGGGCTGATTTACATCTAAGCACCATCATCTCAAATTTCAACTATTCTGTCATTCAAAACATAGCCTAAGTATTTTTTTGGTGTTGTCAAATGGACACACCGCGCATACTACCGCCACGACATGAGCCTGATCTACCTCATGCGTTATCGGGTGTGCCTCCATTTTGGGCACATAGCCACATAGCCTAAGTATTGTACATCCCTTTTTTTGCATTTACAACTGGCTTGGCTATGGACCTGGCTTTTTTCCTTAAAAAGAACTGAACCTATCTTTTTTTAGACAAACCTGTCTTTTTTTTCTTAATATATATTCTGAGAATATATCATGGACGCAATATTTTACGCAAGAAGTTTAAGCCCACGATGTAGCCCAGCCCACGTATATGCAAAGCGAGACAAAAAGACAGGGTCCATTCTAGCCTGGGCCAAATTACCCGACCAATTCGGCCATTCCCACTTGCCCTAAGAACAAGGCGAAAAAGTAGCGCACCACACCAATGGCGACTCCTGGGGATGGCGAGGACGCGCCGCCGCCGCCGCCGGTGAGCGCGGCGGGGGCTGGAGGCAGCTTGATCGCGAAGCTGCGGGAGCAATGGAGGAGCACGAAAGAGCACGCGGAGACGTACCCGTACGTGTGGGGCTCCTACATCCTCGTCTACGGCGGGCTCGGCGCGTACATCACCTGGCGATGGTGCAAGCTCCGCCGCACCGAGGACCGCGTCCGCGCCCTCCAGGCCCGCCTCCGCCAGCTCGCCGCCGCCGAGGAGTCGCAGGGCGCTTCCGCTGCTACCCCACCTCCTCCCCTGCAGCAGCCCCCGCCGCCGACGACGACTGGGCCGGGCAAGCCCCCCTCCCCGCCGTGAAGAGTAAGGCCCCTTAGGCAACTTCTTGACATGAAATGTTACAGAACAATCCCTGCATCGTTCGAGATCGAGGCATTCCTTGCCTCTGTTTACTCTATGATCCTGGACCTAAAGAAACGGTGGGATCTCGCCCCCCAAAAAGTTGGAAGGTCAATTCTGTGTCCATACTGGAGATCATTCTGGAGAAGGTTTAAATTGTTGTGATTCATGTATGCTTACCCTTTTTTCTAGCCATTCCGCATCGTATTTGTTGTGTTTCTCGCTGCTTCTCTAAATAGATACAATGTTTCATTGTCGTGGTTCATGTACTCATCGTATAGTTCTTGATAATACTAATATTTCATCTCAGTCCTCTGTTGGGTAGTATGGTATGCACTGTTGTGAGCATTTGATAGAGAAGTCTGAACGAACATGCTGATGTATTATGCACTGTTGGGGTAGTATAGCTGCTGAATTGGATTTGGAAGAGAACATAGCATGGTCCTCTGAAACAGAAGGCTCAACCAGCATGCTAGCAGTGGCCTTAACATTATTGTTATCTTCTGATATCTGTAGCTTTCATAAAATTGTCTTTTAATCCTAAATGATGGTGGTAGGAATTTTAATGTGCTCATGAAAGAGTTTACTCCAGCGACATTTTTATTCGGGAAACAGTCCATTATCAAACTTCCCTTACGTATTTCCGTAGCATTATTCCTCCCCAAATTCCTGATCTGTTATAGCGAACTATTTGACTTATCTATGCAGTTATCTTGTGTTGGATAGCTGAAACCAATTAATTGCTAGTTTCCCCCAAAGTCCCTCTTAGCCACTAAAGAGTGGTGTTTTGCTATGCATGCAGTTCTGTCTAAATCTGAACCTTGGCTGTTGAGATTTTTGTGAATATTTCGACCGGAAACATCAAAATATTATGTGTTTATGTCACGATCAACAGTTCCACCATGTTTTAGCTCTGTCAGGTTTTATTTTTACCAATGAACTTACTCATCCAAGCTTCATTTGGAGACTATCAATGTTGAAAATGCCACGTACTAAAGATTTGACGCATGCATTGTTGGCTGTCACAAATTTCAATGATGCTTCAAAGATTTAATTTGTTTGTACAGTAGAACAATTCACTATTCCTGTAATTTGCTTTGTCATGCTTTATAATCAACTCTGGCAGTATGGATTTAAAGGGAGTATTTTCTTTTTTAGTTAGTTGAGACAAACTTTGACCAACATTTGCTCCATTAATATGAAACCTATGTGTTACAAAACCGCAATCGTACATTGGTAGTTTTGAATATGAGTCTAAAGACATCGATTTTGTGTTGTATATTGTTCCCTTTTTAGGTCTATTTTTTGGTGTACTGTGACCAAGAACTGATTTGAGGATAACTTTGGACTGGTGATCCTGGTTACAACATTGATCAGAGGAGTAATTACCAATGGGTAATTTAAAATCTTTCCAATTCGGGGAGGGTAGAACTGGCATCTACTGGGGTAAAAAGGAAATATGCCTGATAATTTAGAAAGTAAGGCAATAGGGATTACTAATGCAGTAACTGTTGGTCAAAACCTTGTCTTAACAAATCAAATACGTCATATGTATCCGAACAGAGGGAGTACTATATTACAAAGGTGCACTCCCCCCGTTCCAAAATACTTCTGGTGGTTTTAGTTAAACTTTGAACCAAAACCACGACAAGTATTTTGGAACGGAGGGAGCACCTTTTCTTCAGCCGTACAAAGGTGTACCTTGATGTTCCATCTTACAAATGTTTGATGTGATACTACCTTTGTTGTGCACATAGTATTAACCTGCAAGCATCCAGGAAGTGCTTGTGGGCACAACAAATTGATTGCATCGGGGTCCCATTTGGCCTGGATTCTTCTTCAATTCATTTACATCTAACATCTATCGCTTGGTTCTAATTTTGTTCCTCGTCCCATTCGTCGCTGTTTTGATCATGCGAATCAGCGGATGCGAGTACAATAATTCAGGCCCCATGGCAGCCTGTGGGGCTGTGTTTCCCAAGGCCGGGGCTGTTTGGAATGAAGATCAATGCATCTTTTTCAAGAACAAGTTGCAAAGATATGCTCTTGCGCCTCTCCCCAGTCATGTGGTTTTCCATTCCCTTACTTTATCATATCTGGTACTTGATCTTAATTTTGTTCCTCGTCCCATTCGTCGCTGTTCGCCGACGTGTACCTCTTGATGGGACTGAGAGTGCAATAATTTGGATCCCTTGGGATCTTGTGAGCCTGTGGGGGCTGTTGACCAATGTTTGACTACGGGTTTGAGCATGCAGCTCGGTTTCTTCTACATAAATCATTCTCGAAAAATCACTGTCTGCATTTTCTTTTCTTCGTACTACTGATATAAATCACTATCTCTGCATCTTTTTCGAAAAAATCTTTGTCTGATTAGCAACCAGCAGCTGATTGCTAAGCTGCCTAGGGCCATTCAGATATCTTTTTCCTATCATTGTCTCGTCTTTGGTAGGATTGACAAGGTGACGTGTCACATCTGTGATTAGCCCCTTTCGAGCTAACCTACTAGGGCTAGGCCGCTAGCTGAAGGGGCGAAATCAGCATGTTTAGGAGCCAAGCCACGCTCTCAATCTGGGTGCTCAATCTGCAGCAATGGCAACAGAATAGTACAGATCGGGTAGGTGCCCTGCCTGCCCGATGCCTTCACCGACACGGCCATGTGATCGCCGGTCAGCAGCACCTTGCGCCAAGCCCAGAACTGCCCTTGATTCCGTTTATTTACTGAGCGTCTGCCCAGCCCCATCTCATTTCTGTTCATGACCTCATTCCCCGCAGTTTTACCCCCTCAAATCGTACTTTTGATCTCGGTAAAAAGGGAAAGATAATGGTTGGTTGTTTTTTTTGGAGAATTTCACAACCTATCTGTCTAGTGCAGGAGTATGTATATGGTTTCATGCTGTAACTGATCCCATGTACTGTATGCTACTGCCTGCTTGAACTTTTGAACTGAAAAACAGTTGTGCACAGGCTGAATCTGCAGGCCCAACCGTTGTTTAATTTTCGAAATTTGAAGCACCGGTGTTGGTGGGCACTGCTGCAGCGCGGCTTAACTAGAAGACAGATCGGTCTGAGGCGGATCAGTGGCCTTTCCACTCGGAAACGAAAAGACTATAAGCTTGTTAATTGGGAGGGCCACGGGAGAAAATGGGCTCTGTCGGAGGTCTTCTCCCCTCCAGATCGGCGCCAAATCGCTGTGCTCACTCATGCCATGTCCTGAACTCCTGATAAAACTATTCGCTGCACAAATGCAATACTTAATTCGTTAGCCAAATCGTAGGAGATTTTACAGCGATCGTCTGCTGCACTGTTAATAAGCTTCTCATGGAGTATTTTTTAAAATCTCATCAGTACACTACTTAGTTACTCGGTAAATAACGCTGTTTTGGGGAGACAAATAGTCGAGATCCGTTATTGGAGTTCGTTTCGTTTCAGGGGTGGCGCCACTATTCGACAGCCTCTGGTGCATCCGCTCTGGGCCTCGCCCCTCCCCCTGCCCCGTCCACCTCCGAATTTTTAAGGGGAGCAGCGTGTGGTGGCGTCCGCTTATCACTCTCCCTGCTCCTAGATACCAGCCAGCCTCCTGCCCCTCTCCCTGCCGGGCGCTCGCCGCCGCCACGCCGTGTTGACGGGGCCGGGAGGTGCGTACTACGTAGCTGGTTTGGCAACGAGCGATGCCGCAGGTCGACCTGGAGAGCCTGGTGTGCGGCGGCGCGGGCGCGGGCGCCGGGGACAGGAAGGTGTCGTGCGAGACGGTCATCGCGGGCGGCGACAGCGGCGACGCCTCGCCCCCGCGGCGCGTGCCGCCGCCGCCGCCGGACCACGACTTCCCGCCGGAGTCGATAACCATCCGCATCGGCGACGACGCGGCCTTCTCGGAGCTGAACCCGATATACGAGCGGGACGACTCCACCAAGGGCAGCACCAACCCCAAGTCGTCGGCGGCGGCGGGCGGCGCCTGCAACCCCGTCCCGCTCAAGGCGCGCTCCAACTCCGCGCGCGTCGCGGGCGGCCCGGCCGCGGCCACCGCCACCTTCTTCGGCCTCCCGGCCAGGATCCGGCCGGCCTTCACCCGGCGCCAGCCGTCGCAGGGCCGGATCTTGCCCGACAAGCGCTCTGGCGGCACCGGCGAGGAGCCGCGGTCGCCCAAGGTGTCCTGCATTGGGAAGGTGCTGTCCGACCGGGAGAGGTGCGGGCGGCGGCGCCAGCGCAGGTGGTGGCGCGGGGTGGCGGCCGTGTTCCGGTGTGGCGGCGGCGGCTGCGCCTCCCGGGGAGTCGGCGGCGGCGCGGCGGGCAAGAAGATGGCGCTAGAGGGGAGCGAATACGACGAGGAGGAGAAGGAGGCGAGCGTGGCGGCAATGCGGAAGTTCAAGTCCGGGAGGAGAGCCGCCACGTGGGGGGAGGAGGCGCTGGCAGCGGCGGCAGCGGAGGCCTTCTCCGGCGAGCCGGCGGGGGACGAGGAGAAGAAGCACGAGAGGCACGAGGCCGAGCACTGGGCCCGACTGCCGGTGAGTTAGCCGTGGCAGAGGCGGGAAGATGGGTGGCGATACAAGCGCATGGTGGTCCCCGCTGTCAGTGACGGCGCCATGGGTGAGCTCGAGCCGCCTCGAGCCGTGCCCATGATGGGGTAGGGGGTAGGGGGGTAGGGGGTGGTCGTGACCGGTGACTGGCCTAGAAATGCGGGTTTTGGAATGAATTTCGGTGGTCTTTTGCTGTTTGGCATTTTGCTCTTGGGATCGTGGTGCTCGACGGACCCAACTTGTTGTGTTTTTCGTTGCGTGTTCCAGCCGTATCGTCGTATCCATGCATGGGCAATGTACATGTACATACCACCACCACCACCCCTGAAATAATAACAGGAACGTGCACACAAGGTGTCCCGTTGGTGTTTCTCTCTTTTGCTTCTTGCCAAGGTCCATGTGATGCGTCATGGAACAGACAAATGACTGTTGAATCTCGAGCCGCATGGGCCGCCATATGCCATGGTTTAGGAGTTTTATGAGTTTCGGACGTGATTTAGGGCTATTCAAAAGGAATTCTAAAGGATTTATATGAAGGATTGAAATTCTTAGGAATTTTTCTGTGTTGGTCTTTTGATTCATAGGATTGGTTCCCATATGAATTTTTTTAGGGATTGTCTATTCTACATCCGGATGAAATCTAATTAGCTTTCATCCATATTTTTTAGCCAACCAAAGAATGACAAGTGTCTCCTGTCCCGTGTCTCTTGTTTGCTTTTCTGTCCCGCTTTTATAAATAGACTAACGGGTCTACACCCCAACTTCTACAACCCGGACAGAAGAGCAGCTAAAAAATGGAGATCAAAGAACCACAACGATACAACGATACAGCCAAAGCTTTTCCATGTACACTAAGCTAAAGAAACAAAGGGATGAGGAAAGGACCAAGATGATGTCACCTAAAAATTACATTGACAAAGAAGTATAATTACAATAATATTACCACCAAGAAATTTGCTGTAAAATCCACTAAAATCGACAATACTTTCTATCATGCCCACTAAGAATTACAGTGTAAGATGCATTAAAATTACACTGTAAAATCCACTAAAATGACACTGTAAATCTACCAACAATCCAAATGGTTTGCACTGAAAAAACTGCTAAGATTAACCACTAAGAATTATAGTGCAAGATGCATTAAAGATGCCACTTTAAATCCACTAAAAAAGACCTTGTAAATCCACCAATAATCTAAATGATTTGCACTAGTGGTTCTATGTTACATGCTACTCAAAAGGGGAACTCATCCACCAATTGAGCTAGGACTGTGCACATGCTGAACCTCACTTGGCATTGCCTCCCTACACAAAAAAATCAAAGAGACCAGAATAGGCAAAGAAAAAAAAAAGCTAATAAAGAGAAAAGAAAATGAAATAGAGGACAAGGAAAATAAGAATATACATTGCCAAAGAAAGCAGTGACAAAAGATTTGTCGCAGCTGTTCAAGGGGCTGAAAAACATGTCATTCACATATTTGATCCTAAGATTTCGAATATCTACATTGGAGAAAAGATTTGCCATCTAAGTTCTTGGTGTGAAGATCTCCATATACTTCAGAGTGAAGACACCACAATCATGCCTGAAAAGTTACAAAGAACACAAAAAATAAGAAAAGAAGCCTACAAAACAATCTATATAAAATTAATCAAAATCATGTAAGGCAAAAAAACATAATACCAATTCTCTTGCTTAGGAACAACTGTATACAAGACATCAAACTCTTCGATACTAATTCATTTGTGCATCATAGGAGTGATATACCCATCCCAAAGCCCAATGAAATTATGAATCTGTTTTGAAACTAAAAAATTAGGAAATCATACCAAACTAATTTACTGTAGAAAATAAAATTAAGTGCGTTGTAGACGATAAAGAGGAGATATCAGTACAATTAAAGTGCATGTTACACTGAAATAACTAACACTAAATGCACTAGACACAAAGTGGTGAATACAGTACAATGGCACTAAGCCTTACATAGTACAACAACTAAGAATTACGGTGTAAATCCAATGAGAATTACCCTGTAAAATCCACTAAGATAAATTACAGTATAAATCCAATGAGAGTTACACTATAAAAATTCACTAAGATAGTTACAGTGTAAATCCAATTTGAGTTTCACTGTAAAATGCACTAAAGATAATTACAGTATAAATTCAATGAAAGTTACAGTGTAAAATGCACTAATCCAATAAGAGCTACAGTATAAAATGCACTAAAGAAAATTACAGTGCAAGTCCAATGAGAGTTGCACTGTAGATGCACTAAGGATAATTACAGTGTAAATCCAATGGCAGTTACACTGTAAAATGCATTAAAGATAATTTTAGTGCAAATCCAATGAGTTACACTGTAAAAATGCTCTAAAAATAATTACAATATAAATCCAATGAGAGTTACGCTGTAAATCCACTAAGATAATAGGGGAATACAACTGAAATAAACTAAAAATACATGGAAAAAATGCACTAGAACAGAGAGGGAGCATTAAAAACGATATTTGTAGTACATGAAAGTGGCACAACTACAAAATCTAACAGAAATATACATAAAAGCTTACAAGAAAAATCACCAGCTCATCATAGATATCTCTATGATACATTGAGTTCTCTCCAAACGCTGAGTCAAGAAACACAAAAGCTCTATCTTCGATACACACGACAAACGAAAACCAGCGACCATCGAGACCAATAGGGAAGTACGACTGAAATTAAAAAGATAGAGAGTAAAAAAACCAGTAACAAATCATGAAAGAGTAGATCATGAAACACAAAAGCTCTACTCTTTTTGTATTGTTTCTGTATTGCTTTTTTTTAAACTAAAAAAATGAACAAACATATTCAACCATGCTTTTCTAACTTGATTCTTAACAAAATAACGGAGCAGGGCATACTCTTTTACTCAACTACTTCAGGCGCAAATGATGTACAAGGTACTATCATTGTGAAATTTAAATATAAAACAGCAGGGAAAGAAATCCTGCAAAAACTTTCATTAGCTAATGCAAAAAATATTGTTCTACCTTGAGCAGCAACATGTTGCTACCAAAGCGAAAGAGCAGATCAGAATCCACAGAGCACTCTTGTTATAAACTCAAAATCAATAGATCACTAGAAAAAGCAATAAGAACATATACAGATGAGTAGATCCTACACAAAAGCAAAATCTAACAAGTGTTTTTACACTATGGTTACAGAGGAACAGAAAAATAACATGTGAAACTAAATTACACTGGCAGATAAGGAATTTACAGTGACAGACAAACTGTAGTTACAATACTAGACCACTAAAATTTCAGTGGACAGCAATAGAAATTACAGTAGTGGACCAGGGTGAAAAATCCTTTGTAATTACAGTTTGAATTACATCTCTAGACCACTGGAATTACAGTGTAAGCAAACTGTAATTCCAGTGCTAGACCACTAGAACTACAGTGTAAAATACAGTGTATTATATAGAGAAACCAATATGTTCCTGCTCAGAAACCAAAATGACACTATGATTGAATATTTGAAACTTTGGAACTTTATAAAAGGGCAAATTACTGTCACTTGAACTTAGTATTACTATGATCTTTTAAATGTAATTACTATGAAGATCGCACTGAAACTAAAGAAAAAAGTTAAGCACTGATACTACATGGCACACACAAGAAACCAAATTTGGACCAGCCTTTGTACCCTCGTTTGACTAAATATTACCGGCAGATTTACCAACTGACGAATCATTTGATGCTTTCTTTGTAGAGTCAAGAGCAAGAGACTTGCAACCTACACAGCAAAACCAAAATGACATTACGGTAAAAAAATAAAATAAAGAAACAACCAAATGCATGAAAGTAAATTACAAACAAGATAGAGATTGGCTACCTGAAAAATGTTCAGACCTAAAAATCCACATAATAGACCCTACTCAACTGCAGAGTACAAGGGTAAAAACCAACTAACAGTCCTAGTCAAATTCACTAAGGGGAGAATCAACTGAAAAATTACAGTGTAAGCCCACTGAGAGTTACACTGTAAATCCAATAAGAATTACACTATAAGATCTACTAAAGATAATACAAAAATAATCCACATAATAGTCCCTAGTCAAATGCAGATTACAAGGGTAAAAACCCGCTAACAGACTCTAGCCAAAAATACACTAAGAATTACAGTGTAAATACACTGAAAATTACACCGTAAAATCAAGAGCTACAGTGTAAATACAAGGTAATCCAAGAATAACTAATAGTCACTACAAAAACACTAAGGATTACAGTGTAACTCCACTAAGAATTACACTGTAAAAATCAAGAGATACAGTGTAATTCTTATAGGATTACAACGAAAGATCAACTGAAAACTACAGAGTAAATCCACTAAGAATTACAGTGTAGATCCATTGCAAATTACAGTATAAATCCACTAAAAATACAGTGTAAATTCACTGAAAATTACAGTGTAAATCTAGTAAAAAAAATCCACCTAAAATTACAGTGTAAATTCGCTAAGGAATTACAGTTTAAATCCGCTAAGAAATTACACTGTAAATCCACTAAGAATTACAGTGTAGAACACTCAGAAAACACACTATAAATCCACTAAGAAAACAGAGAATTCAGATAGAGCAATCAAATATTTACATAGCTGAAAATGAAAAGGACATTCTGTTTCACAGAAACACAAAGAACAGAGCTGAAATTTGCTAGCAGAACGCACTAGCTACGACAACGAAGGGATGTACAACAAAAGCTAGCAAAGGATAAAAAGGGACATACAAACTTGCAGCCCAGAGTTAATTCACAATACAATTCAGACTGTAGTTACACTGATATTGAGTGTAATAGGTGCTGGAAAACAAGTGGAAAATTTAGAGTAGATCACTCAAACTTACACATTACTGAAGTTACAAAGCCAGAGACAAAAGCACTCAAATATTACAGAGTAGATCACTGAAACTTACACATCACTGAAGTTGCAAAGACAGACACAAAAGCACTAAAAAAT